AAGGAATACCAACATCTCAACACAATTATAATCCACTCAAATTCAATAACACTAAGGAATACCAACATCTCGACACAATTATAATCCACTCAAATTCAATAACACTAGGGAATACCAACATCTCACCACTCAAATTCAATAACACTAAGGAATACCAACATCTCGACACAATTATAATCCACTCAAATTCAATAACACTAGGGAATACCAACATCTCAACACAAGTATAATCCACTCAAATTCAATAACACTACCAACATCTCGACACAATTATAATCCACTCAAATTCAATAACACTAGGGAATACCAACATCTCAACACAATTATAATCCATTCAAATTCAATAACACTAAGGAATACCAACATCTCAACACAATTATAATCCACTCAAATTCAATAACACTACCAACATCTCAACACAAGTATAATCCACTCAAATTCAATAACACTAAGGAATACCAACATCTCGACACAATTATAATTCACTCAAATTCAATAACACTACCAACATCTCGACACAATTATAATTCACTCAAATTCAATAACACTAAGGAATACCAACATCTCAATACAATTATAATCCACTCAAATTCAATAATGCTATTGCAAAGTATGGACATAAGAAAAAATTCACAAGGAGATTGCTGAAAAAGAACAAGGAGAATAAGACCAGGAGTTCTGGAGAAGTAAGCATCTCCTGCTTTAACACCCGGCATGTAAGTCTTGGTCAATCTAAGTACGGCTTAATTATACTATTGCAAACTGAGTTTTTACTGGTGACGTATAACGGAAACACTAAAACCGATAATTGAAAAAAGTGTAATCAAGATATAAAGCCGCATATTTCAAATCAAGGTAGGGTTATACTAATTCAAATTAATGTCGATTTGAACAAACAAAACCACTATAAGATTCGGTAGTTTTATGCATAAATTAAGAAATTTGACATAAAATCAGGCAACGCCCCGGTGTCACGCTTTTATTTCTTACGTCATTTTCATAACATGTCAGGTGAGACAGGGTAAAAGATGATTTTTGTAAACGGTTTATCGTAGTTATACTTTCACAAAATATTTCTTTTAATCTATCAAACTTCTTGTTATATTTAGTATAAAAACAGAATGTCCGGTGATGTATGTTTTTATAAAGTGGAGATATATGTCTATAACAGGGACATTATCGTAATATATGGATTCTTATGTATGTATTTTGAAAAGACACTTTGCTATCCTACGAATGTCTGTAAATGTAAGGAAGCTTATCCGAATAAGGTGCCGTTTACAACGTTGGTGTATTGTTCTATAATATCATTTATTCACCTGTTGACATACGTTTACATACGATTATGTATAATCATATTCCGTACACTACTGCAATGTTTGTGCAATGTAATCAACTTGGTGTGTATAACAATATCTTTGAGTCCAGCAATATTTGCATGTCTGTAAATGTAAGGAAGCTTATCCGAATAAGGTGCCGTTTACAACGTTGGTGTATTGTTCTATAATATCATTTATTCACCTGTTGACATACGTTTACATATGATTATGTATAATCATATTCCGTACACTCCTGCAATGTTTGTGCAATGTAATCAACTTGGTGTGTATAACAATATCTTTGAGTCCAGCAATATTTGCATAACTATTTACAACAATTTTGCAGTAAAACATTTATTATGTAATACGGGATGCGTTTTGTAGGGACTTGTCTGCCTCCTAAAATTATATGTCGTATAAAGTGGTCTTAGTTTCTTGGTGGAAAAGTTAAATGCGGTTTGTATAATCTATGTATAAGGCATTAACGAGGAGTCTACTATATTAGTAAAACCGATCCGAGATCAACGTAGTTGTACACTTATATTGTTAATCAGATGTAATCATGGAAATAGATCTAGTGGTTACTTGTACTAACTATCACCTAGCCAATGGCCATAATGAAATAATGTTTACACATACCCAGCACCATGGGCACGGATGCACATAATCAATAAGTCACGGCACAGCCAATGATGTCGTTTCTTTTATCAGTAATGATAAAGAAATCACCACGCTGATCTAGTACATTAACGCCACTTTTTTAGGTGTTCGTAAGACGTTATAGGACCCGTAACTAGTAGGATATGTCATAAAAAGGATTTTTGTTACTTGGTATAAATTTGTGATTATCCAGAATTTACTGGAACACAATGGGTATGTATACTTATTTCAGGCAAAGGCTAGAGTATACATGTGTTCTAGTCATTCTGTATTGTAAGTTTTATGTCTCACATTTTTTCCAATGATCTCTTTATTTTGATGCATATCCGAACACAAATATTTTATTTGGATCGTGATGGGTTGTTCAATTTAAGTCATGTTTCAACTTAATGTTACTAATTTGTGTCAGAAATAATGAATCGTGTGCCAGAGAATTCTATGAAGTTTATAGTTATGTTATACAGGAGATTTAAATCTAGTGTTGATACTTACTAAGCGTTTAAAGTAATTTTGTATCTAAATCTAATACCAAATTACTGTAATTCCAAAAACTATGAAAACGATCTGTTTATCTATTTGACATGTACACTTTCTCAATGGTTATTACGAAACGAAACGATGAACTTAAACACCGTGATAAAGTGTATTAGAGATTCAAATCACACACTGGAATTCACCCAAATAATTCGGTTATGGTGATACCATACAACATTTACATGAAACAAGGCAGCATCAATAGAATCATTTATTATGGTGCCATTGTATTCAAGAGTAGTTCACCGTAAGAACTGTCCGTCTGTTTTCAAATCAGTTCAATGCTAAGGAATGAGGCGTTACTTTTTTTAATAACATCTCTACTGTTTGAAGAAATAACTTCTTCCACCCTATTTCCCCAGTTTGTTGGAATGCTAGGACGAATGTGATATTTAAGTGCTGATGAACGAGCTTTTTTTCAAATGCCATTTGTTTACGCTCAAACATTGTCTTTACTGAAATACGTTCTACAGATAATGTTGAAGTCTGACGATTCACTGTATCCCCATTTTACCATGTAATAAGACATAAACATATATGGCTTTCTTGTCGTCTTATAAATTCCCAGGGTTTACCTTAATTGAAAACAGGAAAATGGACATGAATGTTTTAGATATATAGATAAGATGTATTAATTGGTTCGATACAAAAAAGTACGTAATACGATATCAATTCATTTGAAAGTAACATTAGTTTGTGGAAAGTCGTCCAAAAAAATCACATTATGAAATCATGTCTATTTTACAGACACAAGGAGTATTCCTATTGGATTATAAAGATAGAATCGTTTATTGTCTTATCTTTTATAATAATTTATATGATGTACTTGCCAGTAAACCCCCAGTGAAAATACGTAAGGCAGAGAATGTTATCAAAGAAGTTACGTATGAAAAGTAAATAAAGTTTTGATATCCTGTAATAAAAAGCTTTTGAATGATGAGATTGCTCACAAGTCGACTCAGATCATTCTTACCTGTGACTTTGAATCTTACCTGACATCGCTTTTCATGTTTGTAAATAGTTTACCTTATTTATTCCGATTACCTGCACTATATTTTCTAGTGTATTAATTTATGGTCATATCTCTCTAACACGCGAGGTTACCCTCTTACAGAAAAGTACGGATTGTTAATTTTCCAACATCCCTACATCGCTAGTTGTGGTGTTTCTATGTCGCAGTTGATTTTCGATTGATAATTAAGGAGTTTTTCGCTGCATCACGATTTTCGTGCAAGATAACGAACGAACTTCTTTGATAACACTGTTGACACTCTGAACTCAGGGTTTCGGGAATGAGATATAGATTGAAGAAAATGTAGCAGAAGTTTTACGTCCATCATAGTGATCTCATTGATAAACATTTTCTTGTGCTTTATGAATCTGGTTGTGTTTAATATTCGTTATTTTATTAAAACTGTTACGTTGTTGCCTACCGTTATCTCACTTAGAAAACTAACATTGCTTACTTGGATTGGCGAAAAATTACATGTAGTAGATAAAGTAGAAACGCTTACTCTTCCGTAACATCTGGTCTATTCTTCTTGTGCTTTTCCATGGGTATCAGTGTTATTGAATTCGAGTTAGTATTATGATTCTGCTGGCATGTATTTTATTTCGTGTATCCATTGTGCGAAGATTGTTTATATTTACAAATGGGATATTGCTAACAATCAATAACTATACCCAAGAAAATTACTCAAGGAGCAATTAGATAAATACAAAATGATAAACATTATGATATTTTTGCTTTTCTGTTCTGAATTAGTTCATAAAGGACTGACCTGTATGAAATCTCATGCATATTTCGCATGCTTAGGTATTTATTTCCCTCGTCAAGTACATTTCGTTTTTCGTTTCGTTATTATTGATAGACGTCTCGTTGAACACAATATCCGTGCTGTATATCTTTTCTATTGATATACCTCTTGTGTCCGTCGAATATCTCCGTTTAATATCCTATTGAACTTATATGAACTGGCGGATGAAGTATGTCGGGTGTACCAAATACTTTCCCGGTAACAGTGATATCAATTCCCCGTCATAAATCAATCAGTGTTACTTCCATTCAACACGGGGATCATTTATTGTCTGAAAACATTTTAAGATTGCAATCTATGTTTGGTGATACCTGGATACAACCTGCACAAATATAAAAAAGACCATACAAAAATAGTTTGCTCCTATCTTAACACGTTACACATTGTTTATTGATAGGGCTTTCAGTGATTGAGTTGGCCGTAACCTGTATGCATTCATTAATGGAAATTATGAGGTTTATTGAATTTGGTTAATTAGCTCTGTTGTATCTATTCTTTAATATCGAAAGGCGTTATTCATTAGTGACTTCTGCACGATCTTAATATTTTATATATAACATACATATATTTTTGTCATTTCAGTTGATATATAACAGACAGATATTTTTTTGTCATTTCAGCTACAACATCTGTAACAGTTACAGCTACTGGGACGTCCAGCACTCCCATCATGTCGTGCGGGGTGCCAGATAACGTGGCGGCTGCGACGGTAGTATACAACACTACAGTCGCCACGTACACGTGCATATCAGGATATTCCATGACAGGGAGCAATCAGATTTATTGTTCCGGCAGCACTTGGACCGGAACAGCCCCAACATGCACTTTTATTCAACAAGCAGACGACATTGACACCAATGTCAATGTTTATGACTCCGACAGTAAGTCCCTTCTAACGTCCGATGCCTTCCAATTGCTATGAATTTAATGTTGAACTTTGTATTTGTTAAGATATTTCTTCCAAAGTAGTAATAGCAGTCACTACCGACTTTCGCTTCTTCAATTCTCGTTGTTTTTCATTGTACTTCAATGGGTTTTTTTAAAGTTGATTTTTTTTTCAGAATAAATTGCTATTTCCGATACAGGACCACCGATGATTTTGTAAATATAGCGATAAATTGATTTTACCATAAAAAGGATTTTTTAAAATAAGATTTTTAATGTTCGATTGACTTAAAACATCTAACGGCGTCGTCAGTGGGGGAGATATCACAATGTTAAAATAAACAGTGTAAGACTTCATAAAGATCAAATCTGAACAAAAGATATCAATCAGCATACCCCGTTAAACCATCCGAATATTGAAATGTCTCGTGTTTTCGAAATATTTAAAAAATTAAAAAATTATATTTTTGAATCGAAAACAGATATTACTACTACTAGATACATATAGAAAGCAATTGGAGAAGTTCCAAACGTGCTTGTTATTAATTTTCATGATTCATGATTGTCTTACCCTTTCGAAATCTTTCTAGAACAAGACACAAATCAGAAACACCATCAACTGCTTTCAGATATTTCTGTTATTTATCATTCCAAAAAGAAATTTAAAAGCAATAAAACGTTAAGCATATGAAACCATTGAAAACAGATAAGATCATTAAATGTCATTTATTTTATGTCAAATCAAACTGACGGGCATCAGAGGTAAAAAGGGTGATATTAAACATTTTGCTCAGCTCCTCTAAGCCTTAGGTTTGTTTACACTCAGTGTAATCATTGCAACAGTGTGTTAGAATTGTTATAATATATACGTGAAAGAACGTGCAAGAATATATAGTCTGACATTATTAATTTCTTTGTATTTTTTCTTATAATGGGATATATGAACATTAGAACAGACCACCTCGAAGTCATATGTAACACTTGATACGGAATATTTACAATTTTACATGACCAGTCAGTGTAAAATACAGGTAAGTTAAACATGTCGAAATAACCCATTGATTAAATGAATTTCTTATTACACTTTAAAAGACATTTCCCAACAGTTCGAATATGGTGTCATTTCATCATTACACATAGTCATGTTGTTTGCTTTTATTGTTGTTTATGTTATCACGTTTACAGATAGTACAAGTACGACGTATGGAGGTTTTACGGGTAACTGGTCCACACATCTAACATATAGAGAAAAACTAATATATAATGATAAACTAAACCCAAAAACATTGACCAATGGAAAAATTATCCGACAATGGATTTCAGAAAATTTCCCTCATGTAGAGATGTTTCCTGGAATGAATGTTCTTTATATTCATGATGGAATTACATAACGATGCGTTGGGCGTTTAAGTGGTGTATTGGTTAGCCTTTTTACCACATTTGCAGTTGTTTGAAAAACTGCGATTTATTTTTGTCAAAATATGGCAACAATATATCTATATGATAGCACGATGGCTGATTGATAAATTGTGAGGCTTATATTTAGGGGGTTGAATTAGGCCGACATATTGCATTATTTTTCAACATAATCCACTTTAGTATCTATATATGTTTAAGGACTTCAATGACACTATTAAAGAAGTTCTTTCCTTGACCGCTCAGAATGTCCTCCACTGCATGTATGGCGTCATCATCTTACCGTATGTGGGTACCGAAAACGGCCCTTTTTCAATTTACGAAATAGATGAAAGTCTGATGGAGCGAGATCAGGCGAGTAAGGCGGATGCTCTATCAATAAAAAGCCACCATTGTTAATGGCAGCCATGGCAATGACAGATTTGTGAGCATGGAGCTTTTTCTGGTGGAAGAACGCACCTTTCCTGAGTTTTCCGCGGCGCTTGAGTTTCATATTTAACTGCCTAAGAAGTGATACATAATATGTGAAATTGTTTGACCTTTTTACAGATAATCTACAATCATAATACCATCAGCATCCCAGAAAATCGTGAACATAACCTGATGGAACAGTCTTTGCCTTCTTTGGCAGGGATGAACCAGGATGTTTTCATGGTTTAGAATGTTGTTAGGCCTATGGGGTGAAATGATAGACCTTTGTTTCATCCATAGCCACAACTGCTGCAGAAAGTTGGCAAAATCTGCCTTGAAAAGGTTCAGATATGCATTCGGCAAAGTCCGCATGGTGTACTTCTAATCAAATGTCAGAAGTCTTGGCACCCAACGGGCTGAGAGTTTTCTCATTACAAGAGCTTACATAAATATGGAATGTTCTCTTTCCTGTGAAATCCCAACTGTACTGGCTATATATCTCTGTGTAATTCGCCTGTCAGCCATAACTATATCATGGATTTTATTGACCATTTCTGGGGTTGCATCAGTGACAGGCCTTACAGGACAGGTGTTATCCCAAAAGCTCTGTCTGCCTTGGTTAAATTCCACCAACCCTTTTTCACAGTAGCATATTGAGGATCACAATTCCCTAGTGTTGCTACCGTATCAGTATGGATATCCTTTGCTAGACATTCCTTATGCAAATATCAAATCGCTGCTTTTTCAGCGAATTTGTCCTTTTAGAAAAACGTCATTTTCTCTGTTTACTTTAGAGTGCTACCCCTTCGACATAAACTGACCAAATGACACCAGTCTGCGAGTACACAGCCTTAAATAGTCATATCAGAGCTGAAGAAGGACATCCCTGCTTAATTTCTTCAATACAAGGATTACAACTTATCAATCAGCCCTCATGTGTTGTTTTAACTATTATCGGAACCCTCAAATAATAGAAAGAGAAATATCACTTATCTATATATGGTGATGATGTTGACGATTTTACGAATACATATATACCATAATAATGCCGGGAAAACAGTGTGCTACAATTAATGTAGCATGACTTTTCAGTGCATACTAAATATATTATATATGTATGATTGTAATATTCAAGAACCGGTCTGGTGTACTTTAATTACACATCATTAAATGTTTACTATGGTTAGCATTGAGTGTTGCAGTTATAACATCAATTAAAATTAATTAGATATTACAAACTAAAACAATCAACATTAATGAATTGCTTCTTGTGTAGAATTAGTGTGAATTTTACTACAGCTCTACAGTTTATTTATAACATTATGGCATAGTTTCTAACGCTGTCACACAAGTGGTGACATAACATCCTTAACGTGTTATCAAGCCATATTATAGTTAATATGTATAATGGTATTATTTAAAAAAGACATTTCATGTGCGTGTATTATAGGCGATGACGTCGAAGCAACAACAGTGAGAAATCCCTGATGGGTATTCTATCACTTAAGCATGTAGGATATGCTTTCAGCATGTAGGAAATGCTTTTGTGCTGCGTCAATACCTACCAGGAAGCATAAAAATAAAATGACATTTTCTTTATAATGGTTGTTTTTATATATCATGACTGAATTGAATATTAGTCATATGTAATGTTTGTTGATTTATTTGTCTATGAGGCAGAAATGAGTACCATATAAAATTCTATTGTTTTTATACTAAATGTCAAACAGTCTATTAGGCATGATAAAAGCGGATACTTGTTTTTGTTGTCAGTGCCGGACTGGCTGCTTGGTGTATTGGCTGCACTGGCTTGTGTTTTCGCTCTATTGCTGTTGACATGTATCATCTGCTGTTGCATGTACATGTGTGGGTATGTAAATGAAATAATTTACCATATTGCTCTATAGATTATTTCCACTGGTTTAATGTTTTGTGATTTTATTTAATTTATAAAACGATATATTGTTTTTACACAGTTATAAGGATGAAATATGTATCCTGTCTTAATTACAGTTGTGTGACCGGACCTCTTGGTTCCAGTGCCGTACACCCTTTACATAGCAATAGGTCGACATGCTGTTGTTGTAACCAACGGCGACGGAGGAGAAGGAGAGGTGACGATTTCTATGACAGCAGATCTTCGAGTGTCGTGGACATGCGCAATGGACATAGGAATGACCAGGTCTGATAGTTACATCTGACATTTACATCAAAGTATAGAAATAGCCGGAGAAATAGGAAATATACACAATTTATTGTCGTATACAATAGTATAACAACATTAAATGAAATATCAAATAAGACCAAACGTCTGCTAACGAAAAAGGAAAGAAATTGTTGTAAGTAGAATATATATAAAAAAAAAAAAAAAAACAAACAAACAAAAAAACAAAAAAAACAAAAAAACAAAAAACGCGTAAAGTACTGCAGTCTGAGGACTATATATCTCGGGAAAATGAAGAGTACTTATTGTAATTTATTAAGACTAAAATACATAATTAATGTCTTGAGAGTTTTGGGGAGAAAAAAATAGAAGTGTTATTGATGTCATACTGCATTACTTCATAGTCATTGTGTTATGTTTATTCCTACAGGAAGTACGGATAGCGGGTTTCAATTACGGAAAGTCCAAGAAAGGATATCCCAAGGTAACAAGAAACATTACTCTAACTCCGTCTCTCCTCAATGTGTATTTCTAACACCATTTTACACCATCACAATATCCTTTACTGATCATGTTTAAATTTGTTACAGAATACAATCTTTTCCTTCTCTCTGTATCTAACTTTATCTATTCAGTACATACATAACTAGAAAACCTTTACCTTAAGCCTCACGTAATGATACAACATTGTGTAAAATTCATGTATATATGAAATACAAAGAAGCATACAGTGTTATGGTTTCTTTAAGTTGATCTTCATATAAAATGTTTCATGGTACATACAATTTTCCCCTCATCCGAATTCATGAAAATTTCAACGAATGCAAGTATTGGAAAACTGTTTGACAAACTTACAGCTGCTGTTAACTTCAAATATTTACACATTTTTGGCCACATATATGCACTTAAAGTAGTGAAAATTTCATCGAATTCCAGGACCGGTAGAATTGTTCAAAGGACAGATTTACTTCTGATGGCAGAATCATGTTGTTATGTTCCTTTGTATTAAAAGGTTGTATTCCCTTGTGAGTATAATCTTTTTACAAACAAGGTTCTCGAATTTGATGAAAATTCTTTAAACAAAAAATATCTCATAGGGTATTCATTGATTAAAATCGAAAATAAAAAAAAACATTATCTTAGTGATGATGTCTTAATATGATTGAAGAAATACTGGAATAATCAGTGTTTATTTATAAAAAAAAAAAAAGAAAGAAAAAAATGTTTAACCCTTAACTTTAAAGTTGTAGGATGTAAAACAGAACTTTTCTTCTACATACATTAAAGCTAAGCTAAAAGTTAAGGAATGACGCATATTTATGATAATACGAAGTAGTATATATGTATGATTCCTTTATAAACGTAGGAAGTGGTGTAACAATTAGTAACCTAAAGCGTTCTTCACCATTTTCATATGTATAATACAAAGTAAATGGAAGCTACACCAATGCACTGATATCTGATGTATATGATATGAAGTGAACTTCATAATTATAAAGTTAATAAAAAATGAAACTTATTTGGTATCCGATATTAAAGAAACTAGCAAGAAAACTGAACTGACATTCGAAAAATAATAACCCATCTATATGTATATCACACATGAGAAAACGTAAAACAGAATAGTTAACTCAACAATGGTATCAACGTTGGTAAACAGGGTATTGTCAACTTGCCTTATGCTTTACATTAGACTACTTCTGCTAACAAAATAAGGTCTTAGGTCTCTCTATACAAATTTTAACATATACACTTGTGACAAAACATGTAGAATAATAGCAAATGTTTAAGATGTTGATGAAGATTTGTCAACCTTATACAATGATAGTGACGTCACATCTTCATTATTTGACCTCGTTCCTTGTTTTCATGCGCTGGGTGGTATTTTCAGATTATATCACAACCATCCACATCTAGTTTTCTTGTTTCTTACGAATTAGGTGGTTGGCAGCAACAAAATATTGCACCATTCAACACGTCATTACTGACAACTGACCAGAGTGGACACAACAACTGTCGGACATATGTGTCACCTAAACTGTTATTGGCGAAAATACAGGCTGTGTATTATAGTAGCGAATGTGTGGTTTTATAGGCTTACTTTTTTTACAGTTTTGTCGTGCCGACATCTCAGTTTATTACGGCCAACAGTTTGCAAGTTTGGATTCGTTACGTCAGTCTAAATGAGACTAAATAAATTATAGTGATACGCTATTTATTGTTTCCAGCTAAACTGATTTATTCTGTTGTGTGCGCTTTCTGATAATTCTAAATATAAAATTATTGGAGTAAAGATAACTGAATAAATAAATATGTTGTCGTTGCATCCATAGGTTTTTAAGCATTTTGTATGTGATATTGTGAATGATCGTTTCATTGATAATGAAAATTTGAGATAAACAAATGCATGGTCAGTCCCTTGAAAACCGTGATCACTGAGTTGACCATCAATATTTGCAAGGAATAGCGGAAAAAGGAAATGAAGGTTGTTATTTATTTTTTTTTTGTCATTATCTTTCATTTTTTTATTATATCTATTTATTTTTAGCTGGTGATGGTTGTGGGGAGGGGGCGTTAACATGATAGTAATTATTATTAATCAATGTGTACGGTATATTTACTCATACTGTTGCCATATAAACAGGGGAAACAGGGAACTAATTACCTATATCGACTGACATTATTATATCTATTTATTTTAATATTTTTGGTGGAGGTAGCTGTGGCAGGGGGAGGGGGAGGGGGGAGGGAGGAGGGGCATTAACATGATAGTAAATTTAATTACTCTATGTTTATGGTATATTTACTCATACTGTTGCCATATAAACAGGGGAAACAGGGAACTAATTACCTATATCGACTGACTTTATTATATCTATTTATTTTAATATTTCTGGTGGAGGTAGCTGTAGCAGGGGGAGGGGCGTTAACATGATAGTAATTATTATTACTCAATGTTTACGGTATATTTACTCATACTGTTGTCATATAAACAGGGGAAACAGGGAACTAATTACCTATATCGACTGACATTATTATATCTATTTATTTTAATATTTTTGGTGATGGTGGCTGTGGCAGGGGGAGGGGGAGGGGCGTTAACATGATAGTAAATTTAATTACTCAATGTTTATGGTATATTTACTCATACTGTTGCCATATAAACAAGGTAAACAGGGAACTAATTACCTTTATCGACTGACGAAGTTATAGTTCATTAAAAACGGTGGCTGGTTGTTTATTTTTGTAAATGTTTATTTATATGGTGATTTATTTCATATTGCTTTATTGACTGTGGCTTTGCAGTTCGTCACAAATATTGTGATATCATATTGTATTGTTTAATTTTAGCAATGTATAAGTTCATAATACAATATAAAGTTACATTTTTTTTTATTTTCTACATTGAAAGAAGAAAAGTGTTTAAACATACGGAAGTAGGATGACGAAATAAATTACTTTAAAGTTACCTGGGTGTTCTTTATTGTTTACTTGTGTGCAATTTGTGTTGACAAAATGTTGTAGAATAATATGCATTTTCTTACTTATTTTCTTACACTGTTCAAATCCTTGATTTTCCATGCTTTAAAAAAACACATCATTTAGAATTTAGTTTTCACGGATATTTCATTTTCACAATCATTTACGAAAAGATATTGCAGAAATACATATAAAAAATATATATGTAAACCTAAACAATGCTATTTTGATTGTAAAAAACAAAATTTGGTATATTTTTCTTGTTCACGTCGCGTAAATTTAATTTTTTTTTCACATTTAATGTATGCATCCTTCTACTTCCAATTATCTATTCCTATCTACTAAAATACTCCACTATATCTTCCTCCATTTACTTTGTTTATTCGTAGTTAACTTATTAACATTGCTGACACATCATCCTAGCATGCCTTTATTCATAAGAGATTTTCTATCATTTGTACGTTAGGTCAATAGTATATGTAAATTAATTGATCTGCGTGCATATATTGTATTTGATTATTTTGCAGTAAATTTCCACTCTACTAGTCTTATTCTACTAGTCTGATATAAAAATAAATATAGAAGAATATCAAGTGTTACAGATATTAGTGTGATATTCTTTTGCTTTATAAAAATGAAATAATCTTATGTATTTAATAAAAGTCGTTTTCTATCATTGGTGTATATCTTTTATCGGTGTGAAACTTATTAGTAGTATTGAACTATATTTATCACCGTAAAATGTTTGTTAATGGTAGAGACATATAAATGTTATTTATTAAATATATATATATTGTATACTGATTTATTCGTCAGTTTTTTTTATATCGTTATCAATATTCATGTTAATAAGTTTTTGTATAGATTTAATTTAGACATGTTTTCAACTTTATCGATTTAAATAAGTTTAAATAATAAACTAATAATTCACACCACAGAACTGTATTTATTAAGAAATAATTGGCATAGACATTAATTTTTTTTATATAAAACGGGTTAACATGGGAATGTATTAACATTCAATACAGATCTATTGACATACTAACCACGTCTGTTCATTTAGGGTCAAATATATAAATTCTACCTATTTTCCAATGCATAAAGTTAATAGCTTTTATAAATCACTATTATTGGCCTGAACTGAAGTCTTCATGTGGGAGAAAAGCGTTGCACTAAGGAATAAGCCATTGTCAGGCAGATGATTTCATACCATATCAGATACCTCTTATACTTAGGCAAGTTGTAATCATAACAAGGACAAGACTGTATACAAAACATAGTATACAAAGGTTGAATAACAATTTACAGTTCCAAGGTACCAAAACATTTGATCTGATAAATAAGTATCATTATATTTTCCAGACGACACATGTAGCTGAGGCGAATTCAACTCCAGATAGCGGGATGGATTCAGCGCGTACTGCAGAGTCGCCTACTTTTGTCAACAACAACAGTCAGGCCACAACCATACAGGAACTGATCCTCAGGGACAAACGTAATCAGCCGGCCAAGGAAGTGAAAAAGTGGATGCCACATTCCCATAACATCCGTAACATCAACACGAGTACAAAATAGTGGAAAAGTGACTGACGTATTACCAAACCAACTTTAGTGCTAAATAATGAAACAGTGTGGAAGTAACAGACATGTTACCGTATCAAACTTTGTACTAAATAAGGAAACAATGTGAAATTGAGAGACGTGTTAACTTGTCAACCTCAGTACAAAATATTAAAACGACGACAGAGTTGTTGCGTACCAACCTTAGTTCCAAATATTGAAACAGCGGCAAACGTGGTAGTGTATCAACCTTAGTACCAAATTGTAAAACATTGACAGACGCACTACCACTTGAACCAAATAATGAAACATTGAAAGTTATATCATCACATCATCCTTAGTATTAACTAGTGTAACAGAGAGACAAATGTATTTCCACACCAAATAACCCAAGTAAAATATAGCGTGACAGACGCACTACCACATCAAGTTAATACAAATGGTAAAACCGCTGTATTTTCAAATCAACTTTAGTGCCAAGTAGTTAAATCGTGTCAAACGTATTACTACATTAACCTTAGTACTGAATAGTGAAACCGTGGCAGATGTATCAAACCGTGACAGGAGTATGAAATCGTGACAGAAGCACTTTTGTATTAATGAAACTGCAACATCAACTTTAAATCAATATTTCATGATGGGAAATTTACTCTTAAAGCTTTGTGTAATAGTTATAGTACCAAATTCACCTAATGCTTGGTACCGGGGATGGAGTTGTTGAGTAATAAGGAGTCGCAATATCAGTGCAGCTTCCACCAAATTTGAAAGCTCAACCCAAAAATGTGACAAATAGTAAATCAATGAGCAAATTAATAATAATAAAAAAAAATATCAGTTTCGTCGACAAGACCAATGTGTGTGCCAAAAAGTGAAACAAGTATATATTCATTACAAGGATACTTTGGTGAATCAGGGTAGACTGAAAACATCCCCACAAGCGTTAGACAATGCAACATGGAGAGCAAACATACAATACTGTCAACAAAGCTTGCGATTGTTATCATAAACGGTGAAACAGAGAATGTCTAATTGCAATATCGTGCACGTCAACACCATCAAATGATATTACTTTGGGAGATTTTATTGATGATCTGGTGAACTTGTTATCAAACCTTCAACTTGTGAATTATTACGAAAAACAAGTTGTGTATCCAGAGCTTTTGATAGATGTACTGTTTAGCACATAAAAGATGGATTGCAACAAAATACATAGCATTCTCTCATATCATTCTCTCAAATGTGAAATGAAGGGAAATCATGGTGCATTACTTACTCGGTTTTGTGATTTCATCGAAAGAAGAAAATATATGAGAGAAAGCATTTTCTAAAATTACGATTTAATTTGATTACATACCATCGATAAATTGTATGACGAACAATATTTCGTTCAGTTTCCAACATGTCGTGACATTTATCTTAGCTTGCTTCCAAACTTTGCTTGTCAGTTTACAAATTAGGATGTAGTCTTGATTGCTTTGTTTCGTTACGAGATAATGTTGATTATAGTGAACATGAATGTGCCAATATCTTATATCAGATGTGTATTTAATCAAAACAGAAATCAAATGTTTTGTCTAGATACATTCACGTCATTGTAACAAATACAGTGGCAAAATCTCGGATACCTTGGATAGACTCAACGTCGGCATTAAAGAACGTTGTATATTTAAAGAGAGACAGTAGTGTCTGTCAAATACGTATTGGCTGTATTCTGTTATTATCGCCAAAATAGGATAATTTGTCTATTGGTCTTAACGCGAGTGTTTGCTATGATAGTACTGGTGTAGACTGGTAATCATTATTCAACATTTTTTACAGTTCTTATTTGTTGCTTCCTTGGCGAATGTCTTCTTTTGGATAAACATTCAGGCTTAATGCCGTAAATGATCCATTTTAGACTTTCATCCATGTATCAAAGTGTTTTCTGTATATTTCTGTCCACATTATCTCCCTTTAGTTTTACAACCCTTATATGCTGTAAAAACATGCTGTGTTAAACTCGTTCATAACATTGTTAAAAAGACGCTAGCTTTTAACCAGCCGCATTCAATCAGATTCTTTTTGTCTACACATATTACTCTTGAATAACGAAATAATCAACTAGCTGTGCAAACGAGACTTCTCTATTTTAGAATAGTGTAAATAAGTAAACTAGTGTGCTGTCATCATTAACTTATTATATCTTCAAAATATCTTGAATCATATCACCTGTTCCTAAACAACTGTTTCTTGTACAGCTTTGTCTCCGTGTTAACTGCTGATATATTTTACAGATAATATTGACCATTAATTTAAAAATGTATACATCATTATTTATAGTTTTGCTAATGTGTTGCACGAGACATTCATAAAGCTGTTCGGGTTTATGCTATATTTCTTATGTGAATGTTTAGTAATGAAAAGGAATTCCACGAAGAAACGAAAAGCAGTATGATATAACTCCAGAAGAATGACATAAAACTGCTGTTTCAAAACAGAGACAAAGTGGTGGTTCCGGTATTAATATAGACATTTTATCGACGAAAGATCATGAGTTTCATTTTCTGTCTTCCTGAACACTCTGAATGTCTCTTACTACGGGCTTCATATTTGCAGTGACGGAAATCTATTTCGGAAATCCTGAGCTATAATTCCATTGATGGATACCGTTTGTTGAATATCAATAAACATGGTTCATCCACACTGCAAGTTTGATGGAGAGCTGATTGAAGAAACGAATTGTTGTTGATCTGTGATCTTGGAAAGTCCTTTGCATATGGGTGGCATTATTGTTACTTATTATTGTTATTTTACAAACAGAATGCCATCTGTTTGATAATGATCGTTATAGTGACGTACATAATAAACTTTCTGTTATTTTTTTCATATTTTAATAAACAGTATTTCGTATTTGTTGAATTTGTTCGGTTTTTAAAACATCAAGAAATAACACAAATACCATTAGATATAACAACAACCAGTCAATATGTGATGACATCCCAGTCTCCTAGGTGCAGTCGAGGACACCATAACAGTGGGGACATTCCTGGTGAACAGGTTAAGTGATGCAGTTTATGTAGATCCTTCTTCAATCCTGTTGTCTCTCTTAATGTCCTTGATGTACTTGTTTATAACGACATATTGATGTTTTAGAGTGAAGGGAAGCAACTCCCCCGTACCGACAACAATACTGTAATTGATCCCACTACAATTTCTATAGTTATGTAATGGAATACGTGTCGACAGAAAAAAAGGATGAATTAGATTAAAACTAGGATTTTAGGTAGGAACGAGAAAAGTCATAATATATATCTCTAGATTTTTTTTTTGATATAGCACACATTACTTTCACTGATGTTAATATATAGACTTTACGAAAGACTATTTAGCATGTTGTTTAATATGCAGCTGTCAGGAAAAGTGTATATATATATATTTCACCCTTAATATACTGTACAAGAATCGTGCGTGATTATGTAGGCAGAAGAAAAATTTATACTATCTTGCGACCCAAAATTGACCTCAATTCTGAAATCACGCTAATGTTCGCGTTACATACTGAAATGTCATATCATGACATCACTGTCCTAATTGTATCTACTACGATGTTAGCATATCACGTTAATGTTTGAATAAAAAGAAATTAATTGACCATATCAATCGAATTCGAAATAAAGGACTCGAAAAGACAGACTTATTTAATTGTTTACCTCGATCTTTTCCTACCAACATCGATAGCTTCGATGGAGAAGTTTGATAATCGTAATTAATTCGATTTTTCTGTTGTAATTTTTCCATTGCTAGATAGCAACTTTCCTGCATCATAGTAATACTCTGTCGAGATTATTCTATTTCCACGTGCGTGACACTCATGCATGTACCTAGTGGTTCCATTGTTGTTTACTTTGTTAAATGTTTTCTAATATTCTGAACGTGACATTACTTGACCATGAATTAAATGGTTGGTGCCGTCGATGAAGCAGAAGACGCTTATTCTCCTGGAACACCTCGTCACCTAGCTTGTTTCATATTCCGCATATACACACATATCCTCACAAATGCTTATTTCTGGCCCCTTTTTAGCTACGCAAATACATAGCTAACTAGACAGGAAAAAATGGTCTTCGGTATAAATCATACAGATAAGAAGCTTTATGATGTTTGATTCCCAATCGAAGACAGGTAATGCTTATCAAGACACCTGTACTGTACATTAAACTATGTTTATAACTGTTGAAGGACAATGCTAAGTATGTATCATATGACGCATGATCAATGAGTAGGTACGAAAAGAGCAGAAATGTTGATAACCTTTATTATCAAAAATCAATCAATATCTATTATACTCAATTAGTCTTTTGCGAATAGAGTACATCTGTGTATATATATATATCTATGTCCTGGTATATAAACTCTGTCTGTATTTTACCGGGACATTTGTGCACGCTTTGAAGGTGGAGAATCGGCCAGAGGTTTAATTATATTAAATGTCCTACATGTAAGAGATATACTACATTGTTCGATCACATGACCACTCTATCAGAAATGATAATCTATTAGTGCTGCCGTTAATGCAATTTATCCGATCTTAAGTTTTAAAATCCTATATGTACAAACACCGTACGAAACAGCTCTTCTGTTACAACGTTTTAATACATATATTTTAAAATTACATATTTTGACGGTAATCTTATTTTTCTTGTTGTAAAATCATTAATTAAATATCGAGATAGATTTATTTATTTTTTAATCACTAGGTGCTCTAAAACCATGAATTAATTCATGAAATAATAAAGAAAAAGTGTCGTTTTCCCTCTAGAGATTGAAATCTACAATATTTTCAATATTCATAATATCCATGCCAACGTTTATTAACACGTATTCAAAACTGGACACTCATAAAACAAATCGTGAATACAAAGAAAAATAGAATTCTTTATTAACAATATTAAACAACTATTAGAACATTATTTACAGTTGAAAACAAACCATTGATGTAAGTACGTATTTGATTTACATACGAGCGCCGCAGATCGTCAAAGTCTTTTCCGGGGACAAATAAACCTCATACAGAGTTAAACTCTACTAGCAATGGATATGACCTCATAAGGAAGACATGTTGTTTGGTTTTGCAGTACAATATATTTTGCAGGCAAAAATTGATCACATGAGCTGAACACCCATCAATGGTAGGAACGACAAAATTGCAGTACAAAGGTGAGAAACGTCGGATTGCATAAGTTTACCTAACTGAATAGTCAACGAATTATAATACACATATCGAAATAGATGGATGAGACGTTTAAAATCAGCATGTGAGGTCAGCTTCTTTTAACTTTTGATATTTTGGTTATTTAGAAATCACTCTTGTCATCGACAGGCTGTTATTCTTTGTTATCGGACCGATTACGTTGCATTAAATCATTGTCGACCAGATTTACATTGAATATTCGACATGATGCTGTATCTGGTTACAAGAAAATGCCCCCTAAAGCTTTATACGCTAGACAGCTATATAAATCCAAGTCTTTAACGTCCATACACAGTGATGAACATCATGCTGACTAAGGACATGGTAGTAACCTATCATATGTATCAAACGCAGCTTTCCTTGTTCTCAACATAGTGTTTGCTTTATTTTAACATTTCATTTGGAGTAGATTTTTTGTAATACTATTTCTTTATCTGCGATATTATTCTATGCTGCTGCTTTGATATAATCAAGTCCATTTGTGATAGATTTTTCTATCTGTTTGTCTCTGTAGCGTGATGATGTATTTTCATTGCTATATTGAGAGATCTGTCATCTATATCATGACATTTAGTGACCATTCATTGTAGGGAATTAATTAACTGATCCAAAGGTCACATAACATATCTTTACAGATATCAGATAGATACCCGAGTTAGTCAAATTGTTTATCTACAAGATAACCGATCAGAACGTTGGGTGTCTCGGTAAACCATACAATTAATGAAGTGTAATTTGGCCATTACTGCCGTTGAATGGTTTCAGCAGACTTTTTTTTATATCTGTGTTCATAAAGTCAACTGAAAATGGCGTTAACGGACAAAGTATATGTGTTATCAAAACGGTGATAACATGAATGTCTATGAGACAGTGTGTTTATATCAATGTATACAAGACAAAGTATATGTGTATTAATGGTTATATGACATAACGTCATTTGAAATGTATAGGTAAAGTATGATAAGTAATTATGTAGGTATTAATAGGATGACCGAGCATGTCGACAAATCTTGTGAAAATCTTTTGTAAATTATACAGGTATAACATATAAATTCAACGTAGCCATATTTCTACACATATTTCCACAAGCCAGATAGCTTTTCTATTATCATACTATACTGTCAGTCACACCCGCAGGGTCTGGGTTCAATGGGGCATTCTCGCCGTTTAATTCCATTCCTGGAGAAATTTCCTTTTGTCTAGCAAGCGCCTCTGCAGCTTTTCGTTCCTGTTCTTGAATTATTTTTAATTCCGCTTGATCTTTTCTAAACTCCTTCTCTTCTATAGCTAAAGACACTGTGTCGGGGTCATTTTTTTTCTTCTTTTTATCTAACATCATTTGCATCATTTTCTTTTTGCTTGGAATCTACAATGAACAGAGCAGAGTTATGTACACCCTATGGGATATTGAGTTTGTAGAAAGCACAATCATAGTCGCAACAAGAACAGGCATAAGATTATCACAAAAATTATATTCAATATATTTGATAAATGATAGTTATATAGAACTTGGTTGGGATACTCCTAAGACACACAGAAATGATCAACAGCAAACGCTATTTTTTGAA